CTTCTCGGGGCTGCCTGATCCAGTGCTTGAGAATTCTTCATATCCAATCTAAACCTAATATTTTTTTTTTTTTAGATTAGATCTAAATCTACAACACCCCCCCCCCCCCCCCCCCCCCCTCAACTTCCCCTGGCCATGCACAGCCAGAACGGGGCTGGGCACTGTGTTTTCTCTCCCCTGGGTACTTCAGTGACCGCCGGGCTGCTTCCGAGAGGGAAGGATGTTGTTCTGAAGAGCCAAAACCCTCCACCACGTCCCTCCTTTGCCAGAAAGAGTTGTCCTGGATGTCACCATCAGCCCTTCTCACTTCCCTGGACCTCTCTTGAGCTGGCAACGTTCCTGCAGGACTGATTTCTCCTCTCGGAGCTGCGTGGATGGCTCGACTTACAAAATTTCATGGGCTTTTCAACACATGGTGTTATCCACCAGGTCCCTGCGGAGCCTGGTGGCTTCTCCTGGTCTCCACTTGCTCCTCAAACCACCTGTAATCGCAGACCAGTGCCATTGAGAGTTCAGGGAAAAGATGAACTTTGACTAAGCGTTGAAATCTCTTGTATGTTTACAGAGCTGCTAAGCTTTTCGGAAGGTATTTATTAAGCAAAAAGGGAGGTTTTCCCTACAAAAAACATCTTCGTTCTCTCCTTCCTGTGCTGTTCCCTCTGGGGGCTGAGGAGGGAGAGGATGGAGGGGTATGATGGCAAGTCCCCTGCTTTTAAAGTGGATCAGAGTCTGGGGGAAGCTGCCTGTGTCCCTCCTCCTCAAAGCTTGACGGATTCACGAGGAAAATAACCCGAGTGCTGCTGTGCAGAACCTCGGTGCCCGGAGGATCCTGCCAGACCCATCTGGGCAGGCATTTTCCAATGATGGGAGCAGGAGAAAAACTCCCTATCTAGAAATTTAAACATACTGTGACCCGTAAGAAGGCCTTTAATTGACAAAACACCTTCATATTTAAGCTCGGCAGAGTTACCGATCGGTCTCTCTGGAGCTCTGTCCTCCCTCACTGGAAAAGAAATCCCTATTTTAATTTCCTTATACTCACAGAGATGTTATTCTGCTCCTTAGGAGCAATATTTCCATTGTGGGAGGATGGAGCTTCCCTCGTGACAAGTCCCTGGGCTCCCACTCTGCTCATTGTGTTGTCTCTGGGAGCCCTAGGGATGGGTCAGGGCTCTCTGAGCTGGGTGTCACACAAAGGAGTGGCATCAAATGCCACCAAGTCAGAAGGGGAGCACTTTTATAGCCAGTGGGTAAAGAACTTCAGGTGCACAGAAGTGAATTCAATGTGGGATACTGGGTCCCCTGCTCCTTACAAATCACAGGGCTTTGTTAAATTGGCAGTAAAATATTGTTCCCTGTGCTTCAGGTCCCAAAGGTGACCTTTTCTACACTGGCTTGAATTGGAGGGAAGAAGCCCCTCTGAATCCAAAGTAATTTGTAAAGGAGAAATGCTTGGATTTTGAGCAAGAAGTTACTTTTTTTTCTTTTTTTTCTTTGTAGTCCCTTCAGGAAAGAGCAGTTTTGTCCCCCTTGCTGAGAGCTTTTATGGTTGAGGAGCCTCCTGTAGAACATCTAGATTAAGTGCCATCAGCTCATCCACTATTGCAGACCCACAGGGTAAGGCTGAATTACTGCACACACCCCCAAAAAACCCCACTAAAAAGGTGGTGTTTGGGAATACGCACAACGAACTGGGCGGTTTGGAGGGGGAAGAGGGGAGCTGGAGGGTAGGGAGGCAGGGGCTAGCGGGCTAGCTCACCTCCTGGTGTGGGCTACTGACAAGTGTTGATAGAGAGGGGGAAAAGGAGTTCATTTCTGCCTTTAATTGTGGGCAGAAGCTGGGTAATAATTAACCCTTAGCACTTAGGCAGAGCTTTATATCTGCGAAGCACTTTACAAACATTCATATGAGAGAATAATCTCTGTCCCTGGCAGTGAGGTATCAGGAGATGCCCCTCTCCAGGCAGAACTACTGGTGTCCAACTGGAGGGTGGTGGGGAGATGCCTGGAGGTGAGGAAGGTGGATTACCTCCTACTGAAGGGACAAAAAAAAATAGTTTTGTTAGTGACCTGATGCTGTTTAATGGGTCACAATATTGCACTAGGAAGTCACCTGAGCAAACCTCTGCTGTGTCCTGGAATGTGTGACACTTCCCTCCTCTGTGCCATCGGAACTGTGTCCCAGAGGGATGGGGTGAGCAGCAAACAGCCCGATACACTGCATTTTTTGGCTTCATGCTCTGTGATTATAAGGCTTTTTCTGAAAAACCTGGAAATATCTAAAGCTTGTGACCTGGGCTTGCCATAGATCAAGGCAGTGAAGGTGCAAACCAGCCCTTTTAGTTGAGGTTCTTGTGCCACATGAAGGATAATTCCTGTTTTCCGTTGTTCTCTTGACAAACAGACCTGTTCCCAATCCTCACAAAGTAAATCCACCTTCTTTGCATTATTTCTGCTTTAAACTCCTCTCTCTTTCTTAATTCTTGTCACTCCTTTGCTGTAAGAGCCTTTGGAGAGGCCGATTTCCTATTTCATCCTTGGAGAGCGTTATCTGGAAAGTTAAAATAAATGCTAAGCCTGTAGCTACCTCCTTCTTTTATACTTTATACTCTGCTTTCTCTGCCCTCGTTTCACAGAGCAGCCGTCTGGAAACACGAAGCATCTCCAGATTTCTTAATCCCTTGGCTTCTCCTTCTTCCTCTTAAAGCTTTGTGCCTTTGAATCTTTGTGTGTTCCCTTCATCTTGCTCTGGGAGGAGGCACTGGAATTGCAGTTCCTTGGGCCCGACACCCCCAGCAAAGCACCCGAGGCTTCACCCAGTTCAGTGGCACCTCCTTAAAATCCCCTCGAAGAGCCTCGTGGAGCAAAGCAGAGACTAGTGGACTTTTGTGCACCTTATTAAAGCACAGTAAGTGGAACCCTTGACACCAGTGGGGCTTTGCCAAAGGGTCTAATGGGGATCTCTGCCCTTTCTACCCTCCCCAGGTGTGGCAGATTTTGGCTGACACCGCAACTGGTGCTTGCATTGCATGATTTTTGGTGATATTCTCCACAGAATTGTAATTTTGAAGGTTTCAAGGGCAACCCTAAGCTGGGTGTGTGTTGAATTCCATCCAACAGCTTCGTTAGGGGCGGCCTCTGACCCTGCCATGGGAAGGCTTTGGTGCTGCTGTCCATTTTTTCCACCTATAAACCACACTCCAACCCTTTTCTGTGTGTCCAAAGTGGAGTGAAATAATCCCATTGATAATATCCCAGTGAGTTTTGACTGCCGAGCCCTTAGCACACAACGTTGGCTGGTCAGGGTTTTGGAGGCTCTTCTGCACCAATAATAATTGGGATTTTTTTTTGTGCTTCCAACTGTAGCGGGACCAAGAACAAAGCCAGGATCCTGCTGTGCTGAGTACGTGCAAGTGCTGAGCAGAAAGAAAACCCTTCTCCAGTATTCACTGTTATCCCTTCTCCTTCTCTGGGGAGCCTCCAGGCATTTGGAACATGCTTTTTCTCTTAAAATTGCCTCTCTCTAACCTTTCCTCTTCTCTTTGCTCCATCTCAGGACGATGGTGTCCTAGTCCACATCCGTGATCGCACCACTTAAGCCTGGAAAAGCTGTTCCCCATGATCCTGTGATGACTTAGAATGGGATTCCTGACTTGATTCCCTTGGGATTCACAAATGAGGCCATTTAGTACGGTCAAAACTCTTTCAACACTGAGCAGTTCCTCAGCCATCTCTAATTTTATGTTTACCTGGTCTGTGGGCAGAATTTTCATTGTCTATTCGGAATTTCTCCACCTTTTTAAGACCTTTTTTTCAAAGCAAACAGCAGATGTATGAGATATTTTGCTCTCTTGCAGAGGCTTGAGATGGCAAAGCTGGTTGTGAGTGTGGATGTACAAACCTGGTGACTCCCATTCCTGGGCTTTTTAGGACGTTGTTGCTTTGATTGTGGTAACAGCTGAAGGTCCCAAACAGGATTTAGGTGGGAAGGTGGTGTTGGTGAACAAGAGCACGTAAGGAGGAGGAAAAACACTGAGGGTGTTTTTAAAAGGGTTTAAAAACCGGTTTTTAAACCTTCCTTTAATGAAATAAAATCACTGAAGATATTATCAGGTGTCTTTTTGCTTTTTCACTGCGCTGGATTAACGTGGGTCCCTCTTCTCTCTAAAACTTTTCCATGTTTCTGGTTACTTCTGCTGCTTTTAGATGGGGTGATGAGATCTGTTTGAGACCATCCTGTTGATTTGCAAAATGACCTTTTCTAATACATTCTTTTTCAACTTAGAGGGGTTTTTCAGCTTTTTTATCTGCCTGCAGGTAAAGACCAGTATTTTCATTGAATTACCTGCACAGATTGCCAGTTTAATTCACTTGGGGCATATAAATAATTAGAATTATCCCTTGCAATGGCAATTAGTTGGGGTTAATGACTGCTGAAATGTGTGTGTTGGTGTGTTTAGAGTTTGTCTTTTGTGGCTTTATCCTCGGAGGGAAGACTGGGAGA